ATTAAAGAAATAAGACCCAACTGTATGTTGTTTGTAAAAGACCTATCTAACATGCAAAAACAGCCACAGGCTGAAAGTGAAAGGATAAAAATTGACATATCATGTGAATGGAGTCCAAAAAAGAAGCAGATTTTCTCATATCTGATAAAACAGATTTCACATTAAAGTGAATCACAAAAAACAAGAAGGTTCATATTGGTAAAGACAACAATCCAACAAAAAGATATAAAAGTAATAAATATTTATGACCCAAGCATGGGTTCGATTACATAAAAGAGACGCTATTCAAACTGAAGGCCCAGATAGACACAGTACAATAATACTGAGCAATTTCAACACACCTATCTCACCATTAGATAGGTCATCCAGACAGGAACTTAGTAAAGACTCTTCAGACCTGAAAAATATTATAAATTAAATTGATCTACTAGACATCTATAGAATATTTCATCCACCAACAGCTGAATACACTTTCTTCTCAGTAGCTTATGAATTCTTCTTCAAAAAGATCATAATGCAGGCCACAAAACAACTCTTAGCAAATACAAAAAAAATACCTGATATAATTCCTTGCATCTTATTATATCATAATGAAATGAAATTAGAAATTAATATGACAAAACTCTACAGAAACTATATAAACACATAGAGATTGAACAATACTTTTTTGTACATGAATGGGTGATAAAAGAAATCAAGTGAGAAATTTAAAAATTATTATGAGAATAGTGATACAACATATCAGAACTTCTGGGACACTATGAAGGCAGGTCTAAGGAGAAATTTTATAGTTATGAGTGCCTACATAAGAAAAATCCCAAATAAACAAATTAATAATGCATCTCAAGGCCCTTGAAAAAAAATAATAAACCAATTCCAAAACCAGTAGAAGGAAGGAAATCATTACGATCAGAGTCAAAAATCAATGAACTTGAGAAAAAAAAAATACAAAGGATTAATGACACAAAGAGTGGGTTCTCTGAAAAGACAAACAAGATTGATAAGCCCTTAGCCAAACTAACCAAAATAAAAAGGGAGAAAACTCAAATTAATAAAATTAGAACTAAAAAAGGAAAAATCATCACAGACATCTCAAATCCAGTGGATCATTAGGGACTATTCTGAAAACTTATATTTTAATAAATTGGAAAACCTAGAAGAAATGGGTATATTTCTAAACAAATATGATCTGCCAAAACTGAATCCACAGGACATAGAAAACTTAAACAGACCAATAGCTTGTAATGAGATACAAGCAGTAATAAAAATCCTTCCAACAAAGAAAATCCCAGGACTAGATAAATTCTCAGCTGAATTCTATCAAACCTTTAAAAAATAACTAAACCAATACTTCTCAAATTATTCCATGAAATAGAAAGGTATGGAACAAATCCAGTTCCATTCCATGAAGCCAGTATTACACTCATACCAAAACCATAAAAGGACACATCAAAGAAAGAAAACTACAAATCAATATCCCTGATGAACTTGGATGCAAAAATATTCAATAAAATATTAGCAAATCGTGTTCAATAACATATTAAAAAGATTGCATACCACAACCAAGTTGGATTTATTCCAGAAATGCAAGAATGGTTTAATATATGCAAATTAACAAATGTAATTCATTACATTAACAGAATTAAGGATGAAAATCACTTAATAATCTCAACAGATAAAGAAAAGGCCTTTAACAAAATTTAGCACCCATGGATGATAAAATCACTGAAGAAACTAGGGAGAAAAAGAACCTACCACAACAACATAAAGGCTATGTGTGAAAAACCCAAAGCCAAAATCATGGTAAGCCGGGAAAAACTGAAAGATTCTTGAAAATCTGGGATAAGACAAGGCTATACACTCTCACCACTTCTATCTAATGTGATTCCAGAAATTCTAGCCAGAGCAATTAGAAAAGAGAAAGAAATAAAAGGGATAAAAATAGGAAAGGCAGAAATCAAATTATCACTGTTTATAGATGATATGATCCTATACCTAGAAGATCCAAAAAATTTTACTAAAAGACTATTAGAGCTAATAAACAAATCTGGCAAAGTAGCAGGTTGCAAAATCAACATACAAAAATCAATAGCTTTCCTATATACCAACAACAAATCTGCTGAGAAGGAAACCAGGAAAACAAATTCATTCATAATAGCCTCAAAAAAATACCATAAAATACCTAGGAATAAATCTAATCAAGGAGGTGAAAGACCTCTACAATGAAAACTATAGAACATTTAAGAAAGAAATTGAAGAAAACCTCTGAAGATGGAAAGATCTCCCACATTCATGGATAGACACAATGTAGTTCAAATGGCCATACTACCAAAAGTAATATACAGATTCAATGTAATCCTCATCAAAATACCAATGACATTCTTCACAGAACTAGAAAAAGCAGTTCTATAATGCATTTGGAAGAATAAAAACTCAGAATAGCCAAAGCAATTTTAAGCTAAAAAAGTAATGCTGGAAGCATCACAATTCCTGACTTCATATTATATTGCAGGGCTATAGTAACAAAAACTGTGTGGTAGCAACATAAAAATAGATACGTAGAGCACAGTACAGAATAGAAGAGACAAAGATAAATCCACACATCTGCAGTCATCTGATCCTTGACAAAGATGCCAAAGACACACATTGAAAAAAAAGAGGGCCTTTTAACAAATGATGCTGAGACAACTGGTTAATCATATGTAGAAGAATGAAACTAGACCTGTATCTTTCACCCTGCACAAAAGTCAACTCAAAATGTATCAAGGACCTTTGAATTAGACCAGAAACTATGCAACTCCTAGAAGAAAATGTAGGGTCCAACAGTCCAGCTTTTAAGCACAGGCAGTGACTTTCTCAATAGGACCCCTAAAGCTGAAGAAACAATGCCAAAAGTTAATATAAAGAACAGCATCAAACTAAAAGGCTTCTGTACAGCAAAGAAAACAATTAGGAATGTGAAAAGAGAGCCCACAGAATGGGACAAAATCTTTGCTAGCTACTCTTCTGACAGAGGATTAATATCTAAAATATACAAAGAGCTCATAAAACTTTATGCCAAAAAAATCAAATAACCCCATTAATAAATAGGTAAATAAACTAAACAGAAATGGCCAACAAATACATGAAAATGTTCAATATCATTAGCAATTAGGGAAATGCAAATCAAAACTACACTGAGATTACATCTCACACCAGTCAGAATAATAGTCATCAAGAATACAAATAATAAGAAATGCTGGAAAAGATATGGAGAAAAAGGAACATCTTTACACGTTTGGTGGGACATAAATTAGTACAGCATATAAATTAGTACAACAGCTATGAAAATCAGTATGGAGGCTCCTCAAAAGAGTAGGCATGAAACCACCATATGACCCAGCTATACCACTTCTCGGTATTTATCCTGAAGAATTAAAGTGATCTTACTACAATGATACATGCATAGTCATGCATGTAGCAGCACAATTCACAATTGCCAAACTATGGAACCAACCTAGGTGTCCATCAATGGGTGAATAGATAAAGTAAATGTGTTATATATACAAAATGGAGTTTTACTCAGCCATGGAAAAAAATGGCATTTGCAGGAAAATGGTTGGAACTAGAGACCATCATGTTAATCAAAATAAGTCAGACTCAGAAGGTTAAGGGTTGTAATGTTTTCTCTCATATGCGGAAGCGAGAGAGAAAAGGGAAAACAAAGGTGGGGTAGTTCTAAAAATCAAAGAGACATCAGTAGAAGAAAGGCATCAAGGGGTCAGAGATGGGAAAGAAGAGGGGAAGTGCTCAAGAGTGACATTGGCCAAATTATATTGTTATATTGGGTGCATATGTGAATATGTAACAACAAATTCCATCAATATGTACAACTATAATGCACCAATAAAAATGTGGAAACAAAGAGCAAATGAATACATGAAATTCTTTATTAATAAAAAGTAAAGTGTTTTTCTCTTAAGAAACATAAATAAAAAGAACAAAATAAAATCACTTTCAGATATGCACAAAAAGAGTGCATTCATACTAAATGAACACTAAAGGATGTTCTTTTGATGGCCATGGGTGTAGCTCAGTGGTAGAGCGCATGCTTACTGTACACAAACTTAATCACCAGCAACTTACCCTCAGCCAAAAAAAAAAAAAACAGATGTTCTTTAGAAAGAAGCAAAAGGATTTCAGATAGTAATGTAAAGGCATAGATGAGGCCAGGAGATATATAGGAGCCAATTTATAAAGGTCTAATATGACAAAGTAATCAAGGTTCTACAGGGATACCAAGAGGTTCTAAACAGCAAAGTAATTTGATCAGACGTATTTATATTATTCTGCCTAGCCTTCCCCTTCATGTGTTTGCTTCTTAAGATTTCTTTAGGATGTAATTCATGTATCGTTTTCATTGTAATATCAGTGTGATATTGCTACAGTACTCCTTAAAGAAAACAGTGCTTAGAACCTAGGTCTAAACTGGCCAGTATATTGCAGTTGTATATATACAACTGCATTAGCAAGTTAATTTAAGTACACTTGTGTCCTCTATTTATATCATTTAAAACGTCAAAGGGTTGCCTATATAGGCTAGGGTTGTAGCTCAATGATAGAGCACCTGCCAAGCATGTTTGAAGCACTGGGTTCGATTCTCAGCACCACATACAGTAAATAAAATAAAGGACCATCAACAACTAAAAATATTTTTAAAAAAATATTGTCTATGGGGCAAAGAGGTATGAAATTAAAAGATAAGAATACTAGACAGTAGATGAAAGAAAAAGCTGCTGGGAAGAATGAATCCATGCTTAATTTTGCCAATTTCTCTTTTGCTAATATGGTTCAAAAAATCAGTAACATGAGGGGTGCATAACATAGGTGAGACATCAAATTAAAAAATGTTCACATTAACATATTTACTATTTTAAATTATTACAGTTTAAATTTCTTAAATATGCTCAAACATTTAAGAGTATATTAACAAAAATAAAATATTTGCTTTTGTAGAATACCTGGAAGGTTTCCATTGTGGTCCACAGTTTCTATGCCACATCCCCATTTGACAAGAAGTTGCAAACAGCCAAGCCGCCCATGGAAAGCTGCATAATGTACAGGTCTCCATTCTCTCTTATCCGTCACACTAGGATCCTACAGGTAACATTCACAAGGACTCAAGTTTCTTTCCATTTTGTAGGAAAAACACTAAGCCTAGCAGCTTAATTCTGCAAATGACAACTGGAGGCTGTTCATAAAACTATCAGGTCAGCACTGAATATAACAGAAAATTTTACTGCAACCATTGATTTGAACACATGAGCTCATAAGATATTAATGAAGTTTTTATAAAATAGCCTTTTTAAAAGAATATAACAAGTCAAATAATAGTTTTTATAAAGGAACTTAACTACAAATTCCTGACCAATAAAATGAAAAGGATGAAATAATAATAATAATGTCTTAGAAAGAATAATAAATAAATACAAAATTTTAAAACTTCTTAATCATTGTTACTCTGTGATATAGGTAACCTCACACAATACTCTGATATTGTGGGGCAGCTGGACCCACTCATTTCATTTATACTCCTGACATTTCCACTTAGATAGCTTCCTTCTGACAGAGACTCCACATGTCATCCTGAAACTGTTACCACTAAACATATTTATACTTTGATTTCAGAACTAAATTTGGAGTTGGTCAACCTGTATTTCAGTCCTGAATCTGGCTCTACTTATTTATACTTTGCTATTTTGAATAAAACTTAATCCTTTCAGTTTCAGATACATTTTCCACAACCTGTAGATTATCAAGTTTATTCAATAGGACTTTAAAGGAATTAAACAAAAATAAATAAAATATTTTCACAAAAGAAAAAATAAAAAGATGGGTTTAAATGATCAAATCATATCAAGACACTTTTTCTTTAACTACAGAAACACCAACTCTTACCATAATGTCTTCGATACAGGTAGTCCTTTTCTTATAGCTATTTTTATGACCAATGGGTAATATTAAAAATAAATATTTCCATAAATAAAATTTCTGGAGAAATAAATCACTTTCTAAATCTATGTATGAAAGAGTTTCAAAAGAAGGACAGAGAGAGGGAAAGAGGGAGGAAAGGAAAGAAATAAACACATAGAAACATTCAGAAATTATAAAGACTTATAATTCCCTGGTTAACTTTCATTTAAAAGCTTTAGAATCTTCCTAATGAAAGTCCAATCTGGCATGAAAAACTGCTGTAATACTTTGTACTACACTTAACTGTTATTTGGGAAGTGGGAGGAGGGGTACTGTGAGATTAGTCTGAATTATTGCTCCCATGTTTACAGATGAAAAAGTTAAAAAAAATAGTTAAATTACCTCCCCAAAGTAAAGTAAGGGATTTTAAAAGTTAGGAAGAGATAAATGGACTAGCAAATGTTATTCCACCTATGGTTACACACTATCATATTAACGGAGTCCCTTACCACTCCACTTCGGAGCATGATTTGTAAAGTGAAAGAATGTCCATGAGTTGCAGCAAGATGTAAAGGAGTGCATCCATAATCATCTTGAGCTGTCAGATTTGCTCCATTTATTACAAGAGCCTAAAAATAGAGAAATGGAAATGAGTTTACAAGTGTACAAAAGTCAAATCATGCATGTAGGTACAGATTAAAAATAAGCAATTTATTAACCTATAGATAAATTATTATACATGTCTTTATATGTATGCGACAGGCAAACTGTGAGATACTCTTAGCTAATACTAAGAAAATGCTTGAGATTTTTTAACACTGCCGAGGAGACATTTATAATACTGGAATTTATATTCTGATTTGAGCATGCACAAATTTCATGAACAGATTAATTACCACTAAGTTAAATATTTTAATGATAAGCTAATAAAACTTAACACTTGTATAATTTCAAAAGTAGAATCATTCATTACTTGCCTTTAAACTCAATCAAAGGATTTAATTACTAAAGTAACTACTTCTGTACTCCAGATCAAGCTTCTAAGGAAGTTTCATCTGAATTTGCAACTGGCCCAGTTTTCTGTATACGGGTTGCATCATATACACAGCACACCCCTCTATGTAATATAGAGTAATTGTTTTAAAATAATTATTAGTCCCAATCAAAATCCCAGCAACTTATTTTATGGATATCAACAGATTTTAAAGTTTTTATAAAGAGGCAAAATACCCAGAACAGTCAACATAATATTGAAGGAGAAAAACAGACAACCCAAAAGTAGACCCATATGAACATACTCAACTCACTTTTAACAAAGGAGTAAAAGTAATACAATGGAGAAAAGATTGCCTTTTTAACAAATGTTATTGGAACATTAGACATTATTTTAGTCAGCTTTTGGATAGCTATAACCAAAAGATCTGACAAGAATAACTTAAAGGAGAAAAAAATTATTTTAGTTCATGGTTTCAGTTCATGGTTGACCTACTCCACAGCTCTGGGCCTAAGATAAAGCAGAACATCATGGCAGAAGTATGTAGCGGAGGAAAACAGCTCAGGACATGGCAACGAGGAAACAGAGAACTCTGCACAGTAGGGACAAAATATAAATCCCAAAGTCAGCCCCCAATGACCTACTTCCTACAATCTACCTGCCTACAGTTACCACCTGGTTAATCCATTAGTGGATTAATCCACTGATTAGGTTTTAAAAAAAAAAAAAACTCTCATAATCACTTCACCTGAACATTGTTGCATTGTTTCACGTACGAGCTTTTAGCGCACACCTCATATCTTAACAATAACAGACGTCCACACGCAAAATCAATGAATATAGACACAGACAATATGCCCCACAAAAAGATTAACTCAAAGCCAGGCACAGTGACACATGCCTGTATTCCCTAAGACTGGGAAGGCTGAGACAGAAGAACTGAAAGTTCCAGCCAGCCTCAGCAACATAGTAAGACCCTCAACAACTTAGTGAGACCCTATCTCAAGATAAAAAATAAAAAAGACAGGGATGTACCTCAGTGGTAAAGTTACTTAAACTTCAACAATAAGAAAATAATCCAATTTAAAAATGGACTAGGGCTGGGGATGTAGTTCAATGGTGAAGCTTGTGCTTAACACATAAATGGCCCTGGGTTCAATCCCTAGAACTAAAAAAAAAAAAAAGCACAGAAAACCTGAACATTCCGAAGAAGATATACAGGTGGCTAATAAGCATATGTAAAAATACTCCACATCAAATATACAGAAATGCAAATTAAAACAAGATACTACTACCTACCTATGAGAATGACCAAAATTCAGAACACTGAAAACATCAAATGTTAGCATTTACTGCAGATAGCAAATGCAAAATGGTACAGCCACCGTGCACATAGCAGTTTCTTACAAAACTAAACAGTCTTATCATAGTCCAGCAATCACACTAGTTGGTATTTACCCAAAAGAATTAAAAACTTTCATCTACACAAAAACCTGAACATGGATCTTTATAGCAGTTTTAATCATAATTGCCAAAACTTTGAAAAAACCAACATGCCCTTCAGTAAATAGATAGATGGTGGTATATCCAGACAATCGGAATGTTACTCAGTGCTAAAATGAAAGGAACTATCAAATGATGAAAAGACATGGAGGAAACCTAAATGCATATTATCAAGTCAATGAAGGCAGTCTGGAAAGGTTACATACCATTTGATTCTAACTATATGCTATTTTGAAAAAAGCAAAACCATGTAGGTCATAAAAAGACTCATGGTTGCTAGGGGTTAGGGGGAAGGGAAGGACAAATAGGTGCAGCATAGAGGCTTTTTAGGGTAGTGAAACTATTCTGAATGATACCATAATAGTGGATAAATGTCATTATACATTTATCCAAACACAAAATGTAAAATACAAAGAATGAACCCATGAACTTTGGGTGGTTATGAAATATCACTATTTATTCATCAACTGTGAAATCAATTAATCAATAAGAAATTTTGTACCTTCTGCTCAATTTTGCTGAACGTAATACTGCTTTAAAAATTGTTTTTTTGTTAAACAACTATTAGTTAATTTCTTTTTCCTTGGAGGTTAAAAATTGAATCCTGGTGTATGTTAATCCTTGTGTATGCTAAGCATGCACTTCACCACTGAGTTATACCCCCAGTCACCAGTTAATATGTTTTTAGTTCTTTTCTTCCTCAGCCTTTTTATTTTTTTAAACCAGTCCACATTTCCCAGTATCTCAGCAAAGGATTACTCAATCATAATTCCTATCAAGGGTTTTAGAAAAAAATAATTTCATGATTTTGTCTGATTCCCATTAACAGTCAATAATAATAAATGATATAGTGAGTGCTTACTGTATTTTAGTATTCATGAAGAATATGAAGACTTATCAACTTAGGGAGTTAGGACATATGTAGAAACAAAGATAATCAACTATACAAAAAAAACACTCCTTGATAAGAACAACTACATGATGTAGTATCACAAAGCACCACAAAGGCTCTGAGAAGGAATTGATCATTTTGAGGAAGAGAAGGATAATGAAGGCGTAAGGAGTGACTTGATCTAATGCTTGGAGAAAGGAAAACATCCTTTGATCCTAATGTCTCAGAAGTTATTTTGCGTTTTTTCTTTCACTGCCCATTTATCAAATTAATACCTCAATGTCTCAACTTCAAATCCCTCTCCAAACAGGGTGCCATTCCTACTCTTGCATAGAAATATAACCAACTTCCCCCCTATAATGAGTTCAATGGCATTTCTTTAACTTTACACCCTTGCTTTCTCCTGTAACTGATATTCTGCTTAATTTCTTTTAAAAAAAAAAATATTTTTTAGTTGTTGATGGACTTCATTTTATTCATTTATTTATATGTGCTGAGAATCAAACCTAGTGCCTCACATATGTGAGGCAAGTGGTCTACCACTGAGCCATAACCCCAGCCCAACATTCTGCCTAACTTTAAAATAAACTACTTCCTTCACTTCCACAGCCCTAATTCATCCTGGCTTTCCTATCTTTATGATCTTTAATCTCTGAGGTCTTTATTCATGTCTCTTTTCTCCCATGCCTACACAGTAACATTTGTCAACACTCAACATTCTGTAACACTCTAAACTCTTCTCTATTATTCCTGAAGTCTTCTCTTCAGCACCCTAACTGCCTAGACATTCTCTACCTATGTAAACAATCTATAGATACCTTAAAATCAACATGTGATCAAACTGAACTCAACATCTTATCTGCCTTTCAGATTTCCCTAATCACTGTGTCACAATTACCTGTCATTTGGACTTAAAACTTAAATCCTCACTATACTCTGTTGATGCCTGCTTTGCAAGATGTCTGACTTATTTTCTTCTTTTTTTTTTTTCCCCTCCACCACCACCTAATTTCATTCTCTTTAGTTAGTAACTAGAGCAAAAATACTTAAGCCAGGTGCAGTGGTGCACACCTGTAATCCCAGAAGCTCGGAAGGCTGAGACAAGAGGATCATGAGCTCAAAGCCAGTCTCAGCAGAAGCAAGGCACTAAGCAACTCAGTGAAACCCTGTCTCTAAATAAAATACAAAATAGGGCTGGGGATGTGGCTCAGTGGTCGAGTGCCTCTGAGTTCAATCCCCAGAACCACAAATAAATATTTAAAGTTGGGCATGGTGGCATACACCTATAATCCCAGGGGTTTAGGAGGCTAAGAGTGTGTGTGTGTGTGTGTGTGTAGTTTCTTGCCTTTGAATTCTTCATCCCTGGTAAAACCAGACATATTTTGCTAATTTTCTAAATGCTGATTTATTACCTTATTCTCCTATTAATGCCCAAATATTAAATATATCTGTGTGTGTATGTGTAAATATATATATATATATATACACACACACATATATATGTGTGTATGCATATGCAGATATACATATATACATCAATGTGTATAAATAATAGTGTGTGTTCATAACAGTTCACCTCACAAACCACCCATACTCAGTCAACTCACAGAATACATCTCAATTTTCCAATTCAGACCCTCACACTAGAGATACAATATAGGGGTTAACAGGACAAATCTAAGTTCAAATCACAGCTCTGCCTCTTGCTTAGGTAACATACTTAACACTGAATCTGTTAATTATAGACTATTAATCATAGTCTATAAAAAAAGGAAACTCATAGAATAGTTTTGTTAAATGGAATGATGCATTCGGAGTTAACATTAATCTTTGTTGAGAGCCACAGCCAAAGGGGCCCCAGCAAACTTCCAGCTGCCAGCAAACTTCCAGCTGCTGGCTGATGATTGGCTCACAGCGGCCCCAGCAACATCTAGCTGATTGGCTCCTCGGCCCCAGCAACATCTAGCTGATTGGCTCCTCTGCGGTGATGCTCATTGGGCTGTTTCCCTGCCCTTTCAGACCACGGAGCTGCTCATTGGGGGACTTTTTTGGCTCCACCCACGTGACCCAGCCAATCGGCCTCAAGAGCAGGAGGATTGTGGGAGGTGGGGAGAAGCTTGTGTGGGAGAGAGAGGCTTGGGGAAAGCCGGTGGTGGCAGTTGAGGCTCTGAGGGTTTTTCCTGAGAGGCTGTTTTGTTTGGCGTGTGTGGTTCTAAAAATAAAGTTAGTTTCTTTTGACAAGTGGCTCCTGATTGTGCCCAGCCAGACTGCGGCAAATCTTCAATAAATAATCATTTTTCACTTGCTCCTAATAGAGTCCCTGCCTACAATGCTTTGTTACTATTCACCTCTTTAAAATCAACCTATTTTTTTTTTTTTTTTATTGAATCAAGGGGCTTGCACTTGCTTGGCAATCACACTGCCACTAAGCTACATGCCCCATCCTAAGATCAACCTATTCTTTTTGGCTTAGCTGACATTTTATTTCTTCAGTTTATAATTCCTCTACCTTCTCCTAAATCATACAATTCTTCTCATCTATACTTTTCATCAGAACTTTAATCACAGACTTTGTTTTGTAATTTAATGAGTAGAGCTCTTGTCACTTCAAAGATAATCTCAGTAGTCTTATAGGAAGGAAATATTTTTATATGACTCTATAAAATACCAGTCTATTTTAGTACATTAATCAAATCTAGCTTCTCTAATAAACTAGATTCTACCACATACTAAGGAGTTACCCTAGCCATGAAATACATTAGTAAAGATTCAAGCATGGCAAGTATTTTAGTCTGTTCAGGCTACTATAAGAAAATACTTTAAACTGGGTAATTTATAAACACAGAATTTATTGTACACAGTTCTGAGTGCTAGGAAGACCCAGATTAAGATGTTAGCAGATTGTGTGTCTGGTTAGGGACTTTTCCACATAAACAGCAACTTTTATTTTTACCTAGCTCTATAAGGGTATTTTCTATAAGGGTACTAACCCCATTTATGAGGCCAGATCCTTCATAATCTAATAACCTCCCAAAGGTTCCACTTCCTAATACCATGACCTTGAGGGTTAAGATTTCAACATATTTATTTGGGGGGCGGGCACATTCATACTACAGCAGCAAACTTAAGGAGATAATCTTGGCACAACTATAACATCACTTGAAACAACCCAAGCGGCCAAATATTTTAGAGATAAAGGATCTCTAGTCACATATCATTTGTTTAAGCGAATAGTTGGTATCAAAATATCTGAGTTATGGAATCCACTGTTTTTGTTTAGAATATATAACTATATTTATTAGATAAAATATTTAGAATAATAGCAATAGCCCAACAGAACTATGCTAAAGTAATTAAACTCACTGAATTTTTAAAAAGTAACCAGAATATTAATACCTGCATACAAGCATCTTGACCTCTAATTGCTGCTATGTGAGCTGCTGTCCAGCCTCTTGTGGTTACTTGTGTGATATCAGCTCCATGCCACAGCAGCCAATGAAGACACTAATTAGGAAAACAATCATGTAACAAGTGATAAGGAGGATGTTTTTAGCATTTTGATAACTCCAGTTTTGATGAAATTAGGAGAAATCTATAACCCAAACCTCAAATGATGAAAATGGTGCCAACAGTACAGATCAAACAGGGATATGGGAGGATACAATGAGGAGAACACCCACCCGGGGTCACACGTCACATGAGAGACATACTTCTCAAATGTGAGAGGAATCCACCAACAGGCCAAAGTGAAATTGCTTGTTTACTTCAACTGAGACATACAAACTGATACAGAGTCTCTGAACCCGATTTGATTACATGAAGTAGATAAGTCCAAACAAAAAAGAAACTACAAATAATAGTGATAGTTGTGAAAGCAGTCTATGTGCGTATGTCAGGGATAAAAAAGAAAAACAGCAGTGTGAATAGACATATTGTGGCCTACAGGCTGAGAAAATGTAGTAGGTAAATACTGCCCCCCACCACACACATACAACATTGAATCAAAAGAAAAATTCTAGTTGGCCTTGTACACAGTTTAATAAAAAGAGGGCTGGGGATGTGACTCAAGCAGTAGCGCGCTTGCCTGGCATGCGCGGGGTGCTGGGTTCGATCCTCAGCACCACATAAAAAAAAATTTTAAAAAAATAAAGATGTTGTGTCCACCGAAAACTAAAACTAAATATTTAAAAAAAATCTCTCTAAAAAGAAAAATAAAAAGATTTACATAAAAATGTTCACAAAGCATTGTTTGTACAAGCTAGAAATTGAAACCAACTAAATATCTATCAATAGAAGTATGAATAAATTCTGATGAAATGAAGGAGAATACATGTATATAACTACATGGTTAAAACTCAAAAACATATTGTTGAACAAACAAAATAAACTAAATAATTATACACATAACATGATGTCATTTATATAAAGAACTAATAAACACCAAAATCTGTATAACATTTATCTCTGGAATTGGAAGGAATTACAACTGAGAAGAGTGCTCAGGGACTTTAAATATATCCACAATATTCTACCTCTTTTCTAAAAATCTGAATTAATTACATGAAAAAATGTTTTGATGGGTATTCATGATATTATCTTCTATAAGTTATGCTCTATGCTTACCTTTGGAATCCAAAGCCCAAACTAGCCCAAGTGGCAAGATCTCACAGAAAGGCCCACATTAAAGTGCCCCATTTAAGCCAGAATAACCACCAGCATCTGAGTGAACAAGCCTTCAAAAAAGTCTAGCCCCAGACATAAATCTTTCAGCTAAAGTCACAGATGTAATACAAAAGAGAAAAACTGTCACTGGAATCCATATTCTTGGTCACTGATGAGTATGAACAGTTATTTTATGACCCTAAGTTTTGGGATAATTTGTTATAAAGTCCTAGTACAGTAGAATATCCAAATGTTAGACTGAATTGAAAGGAAAATTATTTGTAGTGCCTAGCATAAGGTCTCATCCTGGTCTGCTAAATTTACAAAACTGCTATAGGTGTAAACTTACCTTATAATATGCATAGCTTCTTACCTCCAAGCTTCCAGAATGTGCTGCCCAATGCAAAGGGGTAAATTTATGGAGAACATCAACTTCATTAATGTTGGCTCCACGTTCCACTATTTCTGAAAGCTGCTTTACGTCTCCAGCTCGTACTGCATCATGAATGCTACCAAAATGTACCTTCTTCCTGGCACCTATTAAAAAATCAAATTGGTTGAGACTTATTACAGAACTATGAATCATTTCATAGTTTTTTTTTTGCAGTAAATTTGTAAAAATTTACAGCAAAGATGTTTATTATTAACATTTTCATTAGACTTCTGGCTTTAGCTCTGACATGAAAAGACCATGAAGGTTGACACTCATATTCTTAAAGGAAAAAAACTGAATACACTGAAAATAAACAACTTTCCTTGTGTCCATAAGAAAGCTGAGGCCTCAGGGAAAACTGCTATTATAAATCTGGGGAGAAAGTTAAATACAGAGAAATACAGTCGAGTTCAACTTACTTAGAACATAAGGTGCTAGAGACATAAACTGCAGAAGCACTTGAACAGTAATTCTGATGACTTGCCCAGGCTGAATATGACTATCCTAAATGTGGGAAACTTGCAGGGACTTAGGAAGTCTTGGGAAACCCCTACACTTTCATATATTTTACCTTCAGAAGCAACATGAGGATACTACTACGAGAAGCGAAGAACAATCTCCTCACATCTTTGATATGGGGGAAGGGAACATGACCATTTTGAAATATGCTCAGTGTTTTCTTTAAAACAAAAAATAGATTCCCTGGGCTGGGAATGTAGCTCAGAAGTAGAGCACTTGCCTAGTATAGGTAAGGTCCTGGTCCAATCCCTGATACTGTAAGGGGGGGAAAAAGACCTACTTTCCAGTGAAGAAAAGTTTACCAGAGCCTTATCTCACATATGGATATATTTTATCAATATGTTTTTCTTTCTAATTTATTTGTCTTATAATAAGAAAGAAATGGCTGGTCACAATTTTTACTGCATACACTCTAGTGGTTTATATTCTATAATTCAACCTATTAAACATCAAGAGTGCATTGTCAGGCTTACTGTTCTGCGAAATATTTAATGTGCATTGTGAACCAGAGGCAATAAAAATTATCTAAGTATGAAGAGACAGTTACTGAAGGAGCAAGAAGGAGTACATAGTTCAATGCAAGCATTCCCTAAGCAAAACTAACCCAAAAAAATTATTGAAAAGTTACTCTGAAAACAACTAATCTAAACTAACTTGTATTGACATATTTATAATCAGAATATTAATTTCTTCTAATTACTTTTGATAGGGTCTCATTATGTTGTACAAGCTGATTCATCAATCCTCCTATCTCAGTCTCTCAAGTGGCTGGTACTACAGACACATGCCACCATATCCAGTAGAATGTTAATTTGGTAAGGCTAGAATCTTATCTTGTACTAGAATCACATCTTATACTAACTCTTGGCAAAACAGTATAAATGTACTCAAAATCCTTCTGAGTATCTATCTCGTACCAAGCATTACAAAAACAAGATGGAAAATAGACATGGATTAAATACATTTTCTTTAAACCAGTACAGCAAGACCAACAAATGGTGTTCTACCCACTCTACTCCCATTTTGTACAAGGATACTATCCTGATCATTTCAAGCCCTGATTCCAAACTGCTACTCGTTGGCTACTGCTAGTCTATAGAACAAAGTCCAAAATCTGTGCTCTTCCATAATTTGGACCCATAAGATTTTATGGAATTTTTATCACCACATTCCTTTCCAAATTCACTCATTAATTCATACACCATTCACTCAGAATTAATGTAACCATAAAATAAAAGATGGAAGACATAAATTCACAGATTAGTAGAGAAGAAATAAACACAATTTAGAAAATAACATGGTAGGGCCGGGCATGGTAGTACACACCTGTAAGTAATCCCAGCAGTTTGGGAGGCTGAGACAAGAGAATCGCGGGTTCAAAGCCAGCCTCAGCAATGGCAAAATGCTAAGCAACTCAGTGAGACCCTGTCTCTAGATAAATATAAAATAGGGCTGGAGTGTGGCTCAGTGGTCGAGTACCTCTGAGTTCAATCCCCGGTGCCAAAAAAAAAAAACATAACATAAGAGCAATGACCAAAATATTTACAGGAACGTATGTAACCACAGATAACTTCCAACTCAGCTAGAACAGGAGGGCAAGGGAATAGAAAAAGATTCCCAGAGAAGGTAAAATCTTAGATGAAACTTCAAGAATTATCAGGAGTTTACCAAGTAAGGTGGGAGCAGTGGAGTTTATCAAGTAAGGTTGGGAGCAGTGAAAGGCATCCTAGACAAAATGAACATTAGGATATGGTCTAAATTTTAAAAATAAGGAAAAAAAGTCCTATTGCTGAAGCATAAAGTAGAAGAGGCTTGAACAAGACAAGAGATAGACTATGGTAGAAGTTGTGAAAATACAAATAACAAAAAAAAAAAAAAAACCTTCCCCTTGAGCATACAGTGGAGAATCATTGAGGATTAACTGATTGATTGATTGATTGATTGATTGACTAATACATGAGATTGAACCCAGAGGAGCTTCACCACATCCCCAGATCTTTTTTTATTTTTTATTTTGAGACAGGGTCTCGCTAAGTTTCTTAGGGCCTCACTAAGTTGCTGGAACTGGCTTTGAACTTGCAATGCTCTTGCCTTAGCCTCCCAAAATGCTGGGATTACAGGAATGCGCCACCATGCCTGACTCACTGGGGAATTTTAAACAGAAGAATTATAATGATCATATATTAGGCCATGAAACAAGTTTTTAAAATTCAAAAAAAATTGAAATCATGTCCTATACCTGATCACAATGAAATGAAACTAAAACTCAACAGCAAGAGAAACTTTACAAATTCTATAAATACATAAAGACTGAATAACATGCTCTTGAATGAACAGTAGGTCATTGAAAAAGTCAGAAGGAAATTTTAAAAATTCCTTGAAACAAATGAAAATGAAATAAAACACACCCAAATCTGTGGAATACAGAAAAAGCAATACTGAAAGTTTATGGCATCAAGTGCCTACATCAAAAGAATAGGAACATTTCAAATAAAAAACCTAATGGTACATCTCATTGTCTTAGAAAAACAAGAACAAACCAAACCCCAAATTAGTAGAAGGGAAGAAATAATAAATAAATAAAGGAAAAGGAGTCTAAAAGAACAATACAAAGGATCAAGGAAACAAGGAGTTGTTTCTTGAAAAGATAAAATCCACAAACCTTTTAGCTAGATTATACAAGAGAGAAAAAAAAGAGCTAAATAAATAAAATTAGATCTGAAAAAGGAGACGTTACACCTGCTACCATAGAAATGCAAAGGATCACTAGGGATAATTTTTTAAAACTCTATGCTGACAAATTGGTAAATCTAAAAGAAATGGACAAATCACTGGACACACATGAACTAGTAAACTGAACCAAGAGAATATAAAAATCATGACTAGACCAATTAACAAAGAATAAGACTGAATTACTAAAAAAAGTCTCCCAACAAAGGAAAGCCCAGGACCAGATGGCTTCACTGCTAAATTTTACCAAACTTTTAAAGAACTAACACCAATCCTTCTCAAACCATTCCATATATTTGAAAGGGAAGGAATCCTTCCACACTCATTCTATAAGGCTAGCATAACCCTGTTTCCAAAACCTGACAAAAACACAACAAAAAAAGAGACCAATATCTCTGATAAACATAAATGCATAAGTCATCAACAAAATATTAGCAAATAAAATTTAATAGCACATCAAAAAGATCATATATCATATCACATCAGTTTCATTTCAGGGATACAAGTATGATTCAACATAAACAAATCAAGGTCTGGGGATATAGCATAGCAGTGTAGCAAAAATAAATAAATAAATAAACTCAACATATGCAGATCAACAAATGTAATACAAATAAGATGAAGGATAAAAGTAATAAAAATCAGCTGGGTATATATACCTTACTCCCAGCTATCTGGGAAGCTGACAGAAGGATCACTTGAGCCCAGGAGTTCAAGATTAGCTAAGGTGACATAGTAATAATACCCTACAAAAGAAAAATTTTTTCCTAATTAAAAAAATAATTCATATTATCATCTCAAGAGTCAGAAAAAAGTATTTGATAAAATTCAACATTCCTTTATGATAAAATTCCTGAAAAAAATAGATATAGAAGCATCATACCTCAACATAATAAAGGCTATATATGACAAACTCATAGCCAACCTCATACTGAATAGGGAAAAATGGAAAGCATTTCTGCCACAGTCCGGCTGCACCAAAATAACAGGGGGGGGGGGGGAGTGATGAACAACTTGTGTAGATTGATACAGCAGGAGTGGGAGCCGTTTATTGTAGGACAGGAGTGATATTTATACATTCCACACAGCTTATCTTAATTAGCATAAACTAGATACAGCAGTCAACCAATAAGGAATCTCCACACTTAATGGCTTGCTGGCTCCACCTCACAAACCACTCCCTCTGGCATTTTGCCAGGCGCCATCCAGACTTGTTTACAGACTCTAACACATTTCCTCTGAGATTATGAACTACGGTGGACACATTGGTGCACACCTGTAAAACCAGTTATTCAGGAGGCTCAAGCAGGAGAAGTTCAAGTTCAAAGCCAACCTCAGCAACTTTTAAAGACACTATCCCAAAATAAAAATAAAAGGGCTGGGAATGTGGCTTCAGTGGTAGAGTGCCCCCTGGATTCAATAACAAGCACCATGAAAAAAAAACAGTCAAGAACAAGACAAGGGTGTCCATTCTCACTGCTCTAAAGTACCAGAAGTTTTAGTTGTAGCAACTGGGCAAGAAAAATAAAAGGTGTACAAATAGGAAAGGAGGAAGTCAAATTTGCAGATGATATGATTCTAAACAGAAAAACCTAAAGACTCCACCAAAAGACTATTAGAAACTAACAAATGAATTCAATAAAATAGCAGAATACAAAATCAAAAATCAGAAATGGGTAGTTTTTCTCTATCAATTATGAATTTGCTGACAAACCATAAAAGTAACCCCATTTGCAATAGCCACAAAAACTATTTTAAAAAACCTAGGGATAAACTTAACTAAGAAGTTTCAATGAAAATTCCAAGCACTAATAAAAGAAATTAAAGACGACATTAAAAGATGGAAAGATCTCCATGTTCATTGATTTAAAGAATTAATAACATTAATATGTTCATACTGTTGGCTGGGGTTGTGGCTCAGTGGTAGAGCACTTCCCTCGCACATGTGGGGCACTGGATTCCATCCTCAGCACCACATAGAAATAAATAAACAAAATAAAGGTGTTGTGGCCATCTACAACTCAAAAAAAATATTTAAAAAAATGTTCATCTCTCCAAAGAGATTTAAAGATTCAATGCAATCCCTTTCAAAATACTAATGGCATTCTTTACAGAACTAGGAAAAACAATCCTAAAATTCATATGGAAGTACAAAAGATCCCAAGTGGCCAAAACAACCTGATTTCAAGACACACTACAGAGCCACAGTAATCAAATCAGCAGTATAACAGCATAAAAATAGACATATAAACCAATGGAACAGAACAGAGAGCCCAATGTTTTAACAAAAAGTGTTGGGAAAACTCGATATCTGCATGCAAAAGATTGAAACTTAACTCCTCCTGCCCTGTACAAAAATCAACTCAAAAACAAATCAAAAACCTTAAGGAAAGCCCTGAAATTCTAAAACTACCAGAGGAAAACATAGGAGAAATACTTCAAGATACTGGTACTTAACAATGGTACAGGAAATGAGTTTCTGGACAGGACTCCAAAAGCACAGGCAACAAAAGCAAAATATGACAAATGGGATAACATCAATCTAAAAAGTATCGACACAGCAAAGGAAACAATCAACATAGTAAAGAAAGAAAATATTTGCCAGCTATTCATCTGACAGAAGATGAATAATTCCAGAATATATAAGAACTCAAAAAAACTTAACAATAAAAAACAAGTAATATAATTTTTAAATGAGCAAATGAACTGAATAGACATTTCTCAAAAAAAGAAGTACAAATGGCCAATAAACATGAAAAAAATCTCAATATCATTAGCCATTAAGGAAATGCAAAACCAGATTATAATGGGGTCCATCTTACCCCAGTTAGAATGAATATTACCAAAACAAACAAAAAACACTGGCAAGAATGTAGAAAAAAAAGGAATGCTTATAAACTATTGGTAGGAAAATTAATTAGTACAGTCACTATATAAAACAATATGGAGATTCCTCAAAAAACTAAAAATGAAACTATCATATAATCCAGCTTTACCATTCCTGGGTATATACCTGAAGTCATCATAACAAAAAGAGATACCTACACAGGACTAGGGTTGTGGCTCAGTGGTAGAGCACTCACCTAGCACTTATAAGGACTGGGTTCAATTCTTAGTGCCACATAAAAATAAAATAAAGGTATAAAAAAGAAGGTGTTTTTTAAAAAGAGAGAGATACCAACATACCCATGTTTACTGATGCACTATTCACAATAACCAAGCTATGGAATCAGCCTAGGTACCGATCCATAGATGAATGGATAAAGAAAATACAGTATACATACACAATGGAGTATTGTTCGGTAATGAAGAATAATGAGCTGTGCACTCAGAAGTCTGAGGCAGGGGTGAAGAAAAAAAAATACTAAAAAAATAAAATAAAATCCTATCATTGCAGCAAAATGGGTGGAACTGAAGGATATCATGTTAGGTGAAACAAGCCAGACACAGAAAGTATTTCATACAAGGAACTTAAAGAAAAAAAAAAAGTTATTTGAAAGTAGAAAAATATAATGAGAAAGGTGCCACAGGCAGGGAGTGGGGGGATTGAATGGAGAGTGGATGGGCACTATGAACATGTGATATGTGCACGTATGGAAATATCACCATAAATCCCATTAATTTGTATAATTAGTGTGTGTTATTAACAAAATCCAAAGTACCTCAGGCACAATTCAGTTACATTTCTATTAAATTGCACTCCTTTCATCAGTGGACATTTCTATTAAATTGCACTCCTTTCATCATCTGACAGAATTGTTGGCAAATTATACAAAAATCCAGCATAATGATGTAATGAGATATCATTTTCTGCTAACTTTTTTCAACAAATATCCATTAATCACCTACACTGTACCAGACATTTTATGCCTGTATTCTGAGCCCTGCAAGCTAAGTCTGATACTATTTTATACCTAAGGAAATTGAAGGCAGAGATTTCAAGTAGGATTCCCAATGGTCAAAGAGAAGATAAATTGAAACCAGGATGATCTATTTCCAGATTTAAGCTATAGCAAAGTTGAACTAAAACATACACACTAAACAGAAACTGTTCCAATTTCCCTAACTACCAAAAAAAAAAATCTACATTGAAGAATAAGTGGGAGAATGAGATAGAAGTATGATGGTAATGAAATAGAAAGTTAAAATATAAAGACAGAGTGTACTATCTTTTCAAAAAAAGGAATTAAATGATCAGATTTTTAACACTGAGTTTATATGGCTGGTAGTGAGAAAATTATTGACTAGGGAGCAAAACGGCAAGATTAGCAAGTCAGGGAGACTATGTAAGAACATAAACACCACTTTAGACCAGAATAATTGAGACCCTCAACTAAGACAGTAGCAGTGAAACAAACGAAAACAGATTCAACGGATAGTAATGGAAAAAGGATGACCTGAACTTGGATGAGTATAGTGGGTGAAATAAGGAAAGAGTAGTGGAATAAATCCAAGGTATCTTAGTCACTTGAATGCAATCTTGCCATTGAGATAGAAAACATTAAGGGATATAAGAGTTTATGGATACAAAATTGCATTTTGGGCTGGAAATATAGCTCAGGTGGTAGAGTGCTTGCCTTGCTGCACAAGGTCCTGGGTTCAATCCCCAGCACCCCCCCAAAAAAAAATTACATTTGGGGTATCATAATCTTGAGGTGCCCAAGGAAGTTTTCCAAAAAAGAGATGCATACTTAAGTTTGCAGTTCAGAGGAGAGATGTGGAATTCAGGCCTCAGTGTTTGGCCTGTAGAAAGCTTTTTCTGACCCTCTTCTCACCCCATAATGAAACCAATGGAACTTTATATTCCTTTCCAATACTTATCACATGAGTCAGTATAAGACAGATTATGCGCCTGCCTTCTTTAATGCTATTTCCTTGCAACACTGCCCACGGTAGACACTAAATATTTATGAAGAGTTGAATGAATAACACAGAACAGAAGCCACAGTACATGACAGGGGGGGAAAAAGGGACCACTTTTAGACGGCACCATCAAGGGAAGAAAACAACACTTAAGAATAGAGCAAAGTAAGTCAGCAAAGGAAAGGAAGACCCAATAGAGTGAAAAGGAAAAAAAAACTAGGTGAGCCTAAATTATTATCTCCACAGGATCAAATACTGCAGAGAAGTCAGGTAATAACTTAAAAGGATCCAAAAGATTAAACCAGAGTTGATGTCAATTTGAGCAAGAAGTTTCAAAGGATGCGGATCAAAATAAAGGGGGAAATGAGGGAGGATGACAGATGGGTGAATAGTCTGGGGAATCAATGAAAATAAAGAAGGGGAAAGAAGGCGTGACTACTCTAAACGGAAAATGCCAGCAGAGGCTAGGGCTGCTGTGGGCTGATGTGTGAAAAGAAGTGTGGCAAAGTCAAGAGCCAACAAAATAGTCTGACTCACACGTGTTTGCAGTCTCCTTAAAGGAAGAGGAAGGGCCCGAATTGGCCACCCCAGGCATGGTGCAATCCCTCAGACTCCCGGGAGGAGTGGAACCCCTGCTGCTGCGGCGGTCTTCACTTGCTCTCACCCAGGAGCCACTGTAGCGGCTGCAGCCGTCTTCGTCGTCGTCGCTGGGACGGTAGCCAGAGTCCTCCCTGCTTGCTCTCTCCCAAGAAACCCTACCTCGGGAACCTTCGTCTTCACTTTCTCTCTCCCGGAAGCCACGGAGACGGCGACTGGCGTTTTCGCTAACGCTCACCCCCGAGGAGTCGCTGGCCACATAGCCGCGGTCCTCACTTACTCCGTCCCAAGAACTACTGGGGTAGTGGCTACCATCCACACTCCCTCTCTCCCAAGAGCCACTGAGTCGGCGGTTGTGGTCTCTGACTGTAGCACCAGAGTCGCTCGAGTGCGGGTCGCCGACGTCACTTGAACTCAAGTCGCTGCTGGGGAAGCCGCGGTCTCCCCTCACTTTCACCCAAGAGCTGCTGTGACGGTGACCACCATCTCCCTTGACTCTCTCCCGAAAGGCACAGCGGTGGTGGCCTATGTCTCCAACGACTCCGCGAGTCCCTGCGGGAGAAGCCGACGTCTTCACCCACTCTTCCCAAGGAGACCTTGAGGCGATTGTCGCCTTCTTCACGTTTTCTCTCCCTGTTGTCGGTGAGACAAAGTCCCTGGGCTTCGGCAACTCTTCCCCTGGAATGGGCGCAGTGAGAACCGTGTCGGCCGTTTACCTTCCACGCATGATGGCTGGTACGGCGGCCGCCGTCTTCATTTACTACTCCCCGCGAGTCGCTCTGGCGGCGGCCGCCGTCGGCGGAAGCCCTTTCCTCTGAGTCGCTTTCCAGCGTCCCGACTCCGGCCACCTGGAGGGAGTGGTGGCGGAGCCGTTGCCTTGGAAACGAGTAAACTTCCGGCGTGGTGCGGTAATTTCCGATTGCTCATTGATACGTCACTTCCTACTTCCTTCCTTTCACCTTTTTCAAGGCTTTGCTTTTGGAGCGGTGGGAAGTAGGTGTGGATCAGTTTTCGGTGAGATTTTTGATCCGTCTTGAAGAACCTATCGAAGCCTGAGGTTCATCTTGAGAACAGCTTGTCATCCATCTCGCCCTCTATCGCTCAGCGACCCAAATGGAGGCCCCAGGACTGCAGTCTGCGTAGGTGACCTGTGTAGCGCGGGCCGGGTGGGGCCTTTTCGTCCTTGGCAAACCTAATATACTTTTTCAGTGCTGATTGGAAGAAAATCTGTTCTTATCCTGTAATTTCACAAATATTGAAAAAGACCTAAGAGAGAATTTAGCAGCTACAGCCGCTGGCGTTATTGAGTGCCTACTAATGCCGGGCTCTGTGATTATCTCGCTAGGTGTTAATCCCCATTTTACAGGTCAAGACTCAATATATCAGTAAATTTCTAACGTCGGACAGCAGGTAAGTTGTAAAGCCGGTGTAAAAACACAGGTCATTCATTCGTCGAAAGACTGCTCCAGGTCTTCTAACCTCAAATCCAGATTTCTTTCACTGTAACATGTTCCTATTCAACAATCTGACTAAAATCTTTCTCTCCAACTCCATTGATTAACACAATCGCTTCCATTCACTATTTGTTGTAAATTTATGGGTCAGGTTTTGTGCCAGCAGCAGAAAATACTAAGAGTTCTCTGCCCTTCAGGGATATGGCCCACCTTGCTTCCCCTCTCAGCTGTTTTTTCCACTATTAATGCCTTACCACACATATCTTCTCCCTTCAAGAATAATGAACTGGGGTCCTGGAAACACTTTTTCATATATGTGCTGTGCTGTTCCTACTACCCAAAACTACCCTGCCTCCCCCATCCCCAAACCCATCATCCCACCCTCCAGCTTTGTCCAGAGGACACATTTGGGGAATTCTGCAGACACTACCTCTTCTCTTTTGAGGTACAATTACCTTTCTTGAACATAGCATCTTGTAATTAATAATAAATTTACTGAATTCATAAATCACTCCGCCCCCACTATATGAAGTGCTTTATTTTAGTTTTCTTCTGTAATTCATACTGCAGCCTTCCAAAATAGATATTCCTTTTTACAGATCAAAAAAAAAGGCACAAAAGTTTATTGCTTAAGGATACACAGTAAAAATATCTGAGTGAAGAGTCCAACTTAGGTCCTTCAGTCTTGCTGCACATATTCTCAGAGTCTTAATTTCCACGAACTATATCAATTAGATCACTTATCACCTTTGTATTGTAATTGCCTATTTAACAGTTCTCACTTCCACCCCAACCTCCAGGGGTTCTGAGCTTCTGGAAGGTAGAGACTATATCTTATCCATCTTGGCATTCTTAACATCTGGAATATTTACTTCAAGGAAAGGGCTTAGTTGGAAGCTGTTGGGTGGATGAGTGGGGTGGCTTGAAAGATTGTCAGGTGGATGAACAGATAAAGTTTGAAAATAAGGTTTTTTTATTATTAAAAAGAAGTTTGGGATTAGTCTTCATTCCAATCTGATTTCAGAAATGGGGAACTGTGGCCATTAGTCTTTCATATTTATTGAGTTATAAATATGAGCAATTTTATGCTAAATGGTTCACAGATACTTTAAACCTAATCTTTACTATTATTTTTATTTTTACAGATGAAGAAACAATTCAGATTGGCCAAGATCAAATAACTAAAAGTTGGGGAGTTGGAACCTACTAAAACTGACTCCAAATTAATACAGTGCTTGTAGCCACTTCTGTAATAATGGTAAAGGCTTTACTTTTTGCTATGTTATATAGGGTGAAAGAACTCATGGAGGGAATGAGGCAGCACATGACAAATCTTTAAAGGATACACACATACCAAGAAGAGTCAGAACAGGAAGCAGAAACAAGTAGCAGAGAAACAGATAAGGTTAAATCCCCCAAAATAAACTTAAGAGGAATTAAAAATAAAAGCAAGAATGAGCCAGACGTGGTGGCATACATCTGTAATCCCAGCAGCTCAGGAGTCTAAAGCAGAAAGATTGCAAGTTCAAAGCCAGCCTCAGCAACTTAGTGAGACCCTAAGCAACTTGGCAAGACCCTATCTCAAAAAAAAAAAAAATTTTTTTTAAATGAATATCCTAAAGTATTCTATCTTTGACAAAAGTCACTAGAAACAAAACATTAAGAAAAGAGAAGTGTTCCCAACTATGAAGCTAACGTAACCCTAACCAACTCTCTCAAAATTTTATTTTATTTTTTAAGTCTTTATTTTGTTTATTTTTATGTGATGTTGAGGATCGAACCCAGTGCCTCACACGTGCAAGGCAAGTGCTCTGCCATTAAGCCATAACCCCAGCCCTCTCTCAAAATTTAAATATACATTAGCTATGAATTAGCAACTGTCTGGTTGTAAAGTCTTCAAAATAACTTGCTGATATACATATCTTATGATAGTCATTACAACACTTTGTAATTATAATTAATTAGGAAAAAACTTGAATATCCATTGGTAAAAGAATGGCTGAATAAATTTTACTACTTTTATAATACAGAATATTTCAGAGTGGTAGAAATGCAAATTTAAATGAATTAATCAGCATGGAAAGAATTGTAAGATAACAGTGAAAAAAGATGTAAAATAATATATGTATGTGGGGGCTGGGGTTGTAACTTAGTGGTAGAGTGCTTGCCTAGCATGTATGAGGCACTGGTTTCAACTCTCAACACCACAGATAAAGTCAAAGGTCCATTGACAACTAAAAAATATTTTAAAAATTAAAAAAAAATTATATATATATATATATATATATATATATATATATATATGAAATCCCATTTAATTTTTTAAAAGAATCATAAGCTTAGAAAGGATCTATACCATATTGTTAACTCAGTGATTATGCATAAGTGAAGAGAGGGTATGAAAGTATTCAATTTTTTATGATTGTTCTTTTGATTTAGGAAAAAACTTTAAATCCTTACCAAATTAAAGATAGAAGCAAAGAAAAACATTTACTGTCACATAAAGCAAAGAAGGTAGTTTAAGAAATAATGAGCCAAGAGAGATTAAGGAGCTAAGAAAAGGACACTAGTTTTAGCAAAAAAATCATTGATATACTGAGGAGAGCAATTTTAGTAAAACAGTGTATTAAAGATATAAAAACCAGATTTGTACAAGATTTCAAGGTAAGTGGCTAATTTTAAAGGAAGTTTCTTGCCGAGCATGGTAGCACATGCCTATAATCCCAGTGGCTTGGGAGGCTTAGGCATGAGGAATGCAAATTCAAAGCCAGACCGAGCAACTTAGGGAGGCCCTGTCTTTAAATAAAATATAAAAAGGACTGGGGATCTGGCTCAATTGTTAAGCACCCTGGGTTCCATCTCTGGTACCAGAAAATAAAGGAAGTTTCTCAGTTGAAACAAGGTTCAGAATTCATGCTGGAGGAGACATCTAGCATTTCAGAGAATAGAAATTTGTTTTTGAGTTGGAGATTGTGGGTCCAGTTTGTAAAAATTGCTTTCACCAACTTTTCCAGAGTAAAGTGATAAAGTATGGTCTCTCTCTCTCGTCTCCCACAAATCACCTTTTGATATCTAGTTCCACAGAAGGGAGCAGGGCCAGCTATAGTCATATAAGTTACTTGGGTTTTAATTACCATCTCTTTCTGCTCATGTACTCTAAACCCCCATGGGATAGTCTCACTGTTTTCCAGGCTGTCCTGGAACTCCTGGGCTCAAGTGATCCTCCTGCCTCAGCCTCTCCTGGATACCTGGAACTACAGATGTGCATCACCCTGACTGCCCATGTACTCTTCTCTTTTACTCCCAGGCATTCTTGTTCTCTCTTTGGTGCTTACCTCCAAATCCTCTCTGAGGTACCCTGTGAATACATTTTGGTTCCTATTTAACTTAACTTGTCCTCCTCTGCCCAAAAAAATACCCATTATCTCAGGGAACTGACCCCATTTAGGATTAGGAGAGAACTTCCAGCTTCACAGAAGTTCAGGCATTTGACAAAAGCTCTTGACTTTCCATTTCTGCCTCCAATTTACCTATTTAGTCAACTACATCTTTCTATTTGCAGGTGTGGTTAGATATCTCTTTAGGTTTTCCTGAATATTTTTCATAAACCTCTTTCAGGGTGCTAACTAGTCTGCAAGACCAGCCGGCCAGCCAAAAAAACATAACTAGAATATAGACACCTCCATTTTGAGTTAAACTGTTACATAGGAATTACTAAATTTGTAAATTATAAGTCCTGATTTTTTTCTTCCCAATGCTTATTTTTAACTTGTTTTTTTAACTTACTTTGAGATTGCTTTGTATTTTCCAGACCATCAAAATTGGAAAAGTTACACTAAGACCAGATAATATTATAAAGTAGGTATAAACTTAATGAAATGTCTACATTTTGGGGCATACACAACAACCTTCCTTTTATTCTTTTGCAAACTTGAACTCTCAAATTTCAAATATAATGTTCCACCTTTTCTGGGGCTTCCTTTAGCTTTTCTTGGCGCACTTTTCAGTGTTGATTACTAATTCTAGCTCCCAGTGCTGTGTTGAATATTAGTTGGTACCAAAATCTAAGGTGGCTGATTTCTAAATTGATTACTCTAACTGGCTGTTCATTAGAATTGACTGCAGAGCTTTCTAAATATTTGAGATGCCCTTGAATGAGAATCAACTAAATGAGACTTGATAGATGAGGAATCTCTTAACTTTCACTGTGATTCTAATAGGCAGCTAAATTTAGGGCAGCGCTAGATCATTACCCCACATCTGGCTTCCCACCTCAGGAAAAATAGGAATTGAACTCTGAATTCCAACAGTAATTACCAATGACCATCTCACAAAAAGCATTGTCCTTCCTCCATTCCAAAGTTAGACCCTTACATTTCATTAACTCACATCCACACTAACCTTTGTATCTAGACTTGGCACCCCATACTCAGCAGTTAAAGTATTTCTCAGTCTTACCATATATTTGTGACTTAATTTGTTGTCTAGCCCATCCCTTAAAGGTGTTTTTTTTTTTTGTTTTCCCTATTGCCAAGTTTTTCCTCCTCTACTTTTCTTGCCTTTTTTTTTTTTAATTGGGATGTTTCTTTTTGTTTTGCTTCCCTTCCCCCTTTAAATTTGTGGTTTATAATATTTACATTCTTCAGGACAGAGTCCATGTTAAATCTCTCATTTTTAACCAAAAATTTAATTATACATGAAAGTAAGAATGTATTTGGGCAGAATATACATACATAGAGTATAACTTAATTCTATTTAGGTGTGGTCATACATGATGTGGAGTTACCCTGGTCTCTAATTCTGTTGTCTTTCCTGTTCCCCTTCCTAGTCCCTTTTCCTTGTTTCCCTTTGTCTAATCCAGTGGGCTTCTATATTCTTCCCCTCCCCACCCTCCCTTATTGTGGTTTAGCATCCATAAATCAGAACAATTGGCCCTTGGTTTTGGGGAGGATTGTCTTATTTCTCTTAGCATGAAATAAGATCTACCCATTTACCAGCAAATGCCTTAATTTCATTCTTCTTTATGGCTGAATAATATTCCATTGTGTGTATATACCACATTTTCTTTACCCATTCATCTGTTGAGGGACACCTACATTGTTCCATAGCTTGGCTAATGTGAGTTGAGCTGCTGACATGAATATTTGCCTTCTTTCTTTAGCACTTTTTTTCCCTTATCTTCCCAGCTGCCAGCTTTTTATTTCCCAAGGAATTGTCCTTGGCCCTCTTCTCTCTCTTATGGATACACTTGGTATGCTGATAGTTTTGAATATCACCTTCCTTTTGAACACTCCATACCTGTGTTTGATTAAACCTATGCAGTGTCTCCAGAAAAATGTATAACAGAAAATTCAGCCTACATTTTTTTAATTCACAGACCCCCAAAATTCTTCCATTGCAGCATTCATGTATACTGAAATATATCACTTTGTTTAACATGTATAATGGCTGCATGTCCAAGAAAGTTCATCATCTATTTGAAAATTACCAGGTTTTAGTCATGAAAATCAGTTTTTTAGAACACATGACCCATTTGAATCCTTTACATCTGCTATTAATTCTCCAAAAGATATCCTTCCTATCAATGTGGCTTTCACTTACAGTTATCCTTGAAGCTCACATATTACCATCTTTGTAAAGTATTCCTTAACCCACCTCCAGGTGATTTGGTATGCCTACTTCTATCTTAGCATTTATCTTGTGTTTTTTATTTTTATTGCATTAGTACTGGAATAAGACAAAGGCAGGTTCAAATTTTGTATAACATCTGAAGTGAGTAGCTGAATTTTATCTATAAAATGGAAATATCATCTATCATGTAGCATAGTTTTAAGTATCAAAGAAAATACTTATAGAAAGTCTGCCAGTGCCTACCACATAGTAAGACCTCAATAAACAAATATGTTTCAGTGTTTTATACCTATCTCCTCCGAATAAATGGCAGAAGGTACTCATCTCATGTCTCAGAGTACCTGGCTCATAGCAGGTACCGCGCATATGTTTTTAAAAAACAAGTGATGAAAAAGACATAAGAAAAAAGCAAGCACATTCCAAAAACTCACTCAAGAAATAAAGAAATACAAACCAGAAATTTCTTCATCATTCTATTTATTACATGTATGAATATTAACATCTCATGGTATCCATCTAATTCAATCAAAACCAACAAAGGAAAAAGGTTAACCATGTTGCAAATGAGCATTCTTACAGAGTCCCCTGTAACTTAAAATAGAAATATGTTCATCTGCATTAAATCATTTGACAATTTGAAAAATATCTTTAAAAAAATCATGTTTAGTACTTAAATATATTTGTTAATTTCTTGATGGCATCAATGTCCAAGAACAAAAGTCGTGTCATTGGATACTTTCCAAAAATGGACATCTGGGTGGTTTTCTATAGTTGGGAGATACATACCTATATATATGTAGGCAAATATGTCCTATTGTTTTTAAAATTTTTTCAAATCTGGCTTTTCTATTTGAGAAAAGTCCTACAGTGCTCTCAATCCCCTTTTGAAGGATAAAATTAACTTCAGACTTTGCTGCTATAATCATGGGAAGCTATTAGGAAAAAAATCTTTATGCTGAGGTTGCTGTTCATTTCCATTTTTACCCAATAAAAAGTACAGAAACACTCTTTATTTCATGGTGTGCATAAATATTACACTCCATGGATAGCAAAAATATTTTTATTTATAATTTACAGTTTCACAAGTGAAAATCGTACATTTTTACACATACAATTTCATTTTGTTAAATTTGCACACATCTACAGAACTTTCACACAACAAGCACCTGAAACTGTGCAGGCAGTAGGAAATGCAAATACTAAAATGTATTTATTAACCAAATTATAGCTGAAGGCCCTGCCTCAGCTAGACAATTTATATAGATATATGTCTATATATACATAAAAAATTCTTCACCTTCTAGATCCAACAGCAGCTTTTTTTAAAAAAAGAAAACCATACCTTTCTCATTTTATTTAAACTGACTCGACTGTATCATTTTCTGTTTTAATTTCAGTAGGTGTTGCTATGCTCTCCTCTGTACAAGCTGGTGGAGTATCAATTCGCTCTTCCTTAACTTTGGGACTTTCACAAGGTTCTTGCAATTCATTTTTTACAATGTTCAACATAATGTTCAAAGGGTTTTCAACTGGTGTCTTGCTGGGAGACGGTGTACAATCAAATGAAGATGTCTACAAAATGAAAAAGCCCTATAAGTACTGATGAAAGTTCAAAATTATCACGTTAAATCACAGTTTTATAAGACCTTTGTATGGGCAAAGGAACACACATAACAAAAAGCAACTAAAATACCTCCCCCCTTCCCCACAAGACATGCAAAGGCAACCAAATACTAAAAACACTGAATATTCAATACGTATTTAGCAATGAGCTGTCCAGTAACAGCTGATCTGTTATCAAATATATAGCCAAAAGAAGTTGATTAGACATGTTTTTGTCTTTAACCCTTATAAAGATGGTAGTCCCTTATACAAATACTCTGGGATTTTTGTGACTATAAACACTTGAGGATATGGGGGATTTTTTTTGTTGTTGAGACAGGGGGTCTTGCTAAATTGACCAGGCTGGCCTTGAACTCTCAACCCTCCTACTTCAGCCTTCAAAGGAGCTGGGAATATAGGCATTATACTATGACACTTGGCAATTGAGGATCTCACACACCTTCAAAAATCCTAGGAAACTAATATTATGGTGATTTAAACAAATTTGACAATGTGTGCCATCATTTGGTTACAAAAATGGTCAAGCCACAAATATAACAATTTAAACTTAAGACCACCAGACTGGTGTCAATTTTTTAAGATTTGATCATTTAATAAATGCTTCCCATAGTCATGAATGCTATTTGCATCATGAGCCTTCTCTTTAGATTTCCACATTTCCTTGGGGCTAGTAAAAGACATCAAGATTCAAGTAAATTACAAGGATTAATAAAAATATTTCATAATTTCAAATTATATATAACAAATTATATATATATATATATGTTAGATCCTATAGAACACCAATATTTGGTGACCAACCTAACTGCTGCATCAAAATGAAACAGCACCAGGCGTAGCGTGCGAACCTGTAATACCATCAGCAGCTCAGCAGGCTAATGCAAGAAGATCACAGGTTCAAAGCCAGTTCGGCAACTTACTGAAAACCATTCTCAAAAAATAAAAAGGGCTGGGGATGTGCCTCAGGGTTAAGTGCCCCTGAGTTCAATCCTTGGTATACCAAAAAAATAATAAAAATTTTAAAAATAAATAGCTCAGTAAGATTAACTACTTTTGGGGCTGGGGATGTGGCTCAAGCGGTAGCACGCTCGCTTGGCATGCGTGCGGCCCGGGTTTGATCCTCAGCACCACATACAAAAGATGTTGTGTCCGCCAAGAACTAAAAAATAAATATTAAAAAATTCTCTCTCTCTCTCTCTCTCTCTTAAAAAAAAAAAAAATCTCTCTTAAAAAAAAAAAAAAAGATTAACTACTTTTTCTGATGCAAAAAATAACTGAAAATTAAAATTTATTGATGTAAATAAGAACAAATACAGAATCGAGAAAAAACTTACATTTTGATAATCTTCATAACATGATGGATGATATATCTAAAACAAAAAGAAAATGGTAAATAAATATTTCATGCATATTCATTTCTAATGGACTATTCTAAAATGATTTCTCTCTTAAAATTTAAACCAGAAGGTGATGTTCTTTTGAAAGAACATTGTTTAATGAACCAAATTATCCTTACCCTTACGGAATTTTAAAGGAATATGAAAAACTTGATTTCTCTTTAAACTTGCCTTCTACATTTAAGTACCTACTATAACATGGGTTGGTTTCATGGCAATAACAATTTGATAGTGAAATATAAATTCAGCATCATAATAGCATAATTAGGCAGAAAGATAACTAAGTAGGTTTAGAAGACCTAGTATTGAGTCTTGCAGTAATTATGACATTTGCTATATAAGCATCCAGATGATTGCTAAGATCCTTCCAAACTCAAACATTCTATGACTCTAAAGGTCAGTGCCTTTTTTATTGACCAAAATCCAAAAATAATTGATTAAGAATCTTCTTTCAGAGTGTTGAGCTACTCCAACAAAAAAATATAACTTTAACATTCCTTATAAAGTACTGAAATTTTACCTTTCCATCTACTCTGATAGCATTTTTTAAGTGCCATTCCTCCTCTTCTTCATCCCAGTATTGTTCAAACTGTTCTTGACAGATTTCACAACTCTAAAATAGAATCATAAAAAATAAAATTTAGGGGTTGGGGTTATGGCTTAGCAGTAGAGCTGGCACCTAGCAAGAAATTGCGAACTGGGTTCGATCCTCAGCACCACATAAAAATAAATACAATAAAGGTATTGTGTCCAACTACAAATTTTAAAAAATATATTTAAAAAAATAAATAAAATTTACATAATAGAACATTTAATCCCATTAAAGAAATATATATTTTTAAGAAACTTAGAATGTTGTTAAAAGTTTAACAATGTCCAACATATAAAAAAGTTTTAAATATTCTGAAAACAGTTAACATTTCACAATAGAATGATAGAGCTTATAAGAAATATTAAAATCATTAGAAGGATATAAATAAATTGATATGTTTATGATTATTAAAAGAAGTGAAGGATAAAATTTAAACATTGTTCTCTGACCTCAACTGCTCCAGCTGGTCCAGCAGGTACACTTTGAAATTCCTTTTCTTTAGCAGCCTCCTGAGTTTTGAGCACAACTTCTTCATGCACCTTTTCAAAAAACTGGCTCTTTGCACGTTCTTCCAGATCAGCTATTTCCTCAAATTCTATCCAGTCCTTAAAATGAGTTGATTTAAAAAGAATATTTCATTTGTTCCTAAACTTTTACTGCTTATCTTCAATATAATGCCACTTAAAGGTAAAGGTGTATTTTTCTACAATATTGTTTAAATATTATATCTTCTCACTGAGCCCCATAACTAATGGACAACATGTAACAACAACTGATGAACAACCAAGATTTTAATGTTAGGACTAGCGGTATACCTCAGTAATGAAGCACAAAACCTAGCATGCATGACTGCCCTGTGTTTAATCCCTAACACCACAAACAAAATTATATACACATGTATGTATCTTAATGTTATTTTCCATGAGCCCTAAAGTTACAACTAATTTAAACAAGAAAAAGTTCATATACAGTTTTTCACAAAAATAATTCATTCACTGTACCTTGGAATTTTAAACCTGGAACAGGTTTGTATACTATTCAAAATTCAACAAAAAGCAAATACTCTCCAAAATAACTTTATGTAAACAATTGCTTATATTCTAGGTGTCGAAGTTTATTCAGAATATCCAAAAACTGAAGCCTAAAAGAAAGTTCGGAGGCATATGAATTACTTACCGTTAAACTGTAGTACCAACGTCTATGAGTGACTTTTCTACTAACATCCTTCTCAGTTCTATTTTGCCGATAGTGCCAGTCCAAGTGATCTGCATATACATCTGTCTGTGATGTTGTAAACCTCATTCCACAAGAGTAACACTGAATACCAGTGTACAGTCGGTTTATAACACTGTCATAACGTCTGTTTTGAAAAAGAAAAATTCTTTACGATAACATATCTCAATGGCTAAAAGAACAAAATCAATTACAAATAACTTCAGTTTGCCATATTTTAACAAGGGTGAAACCAAGAAGGCTGGCTGAAACAGTTAATATCCAGACATCAATACTCTTACCTACTAGTATCACTGGCTCACTTTACCTAAACTTTGATGAATAATGGAACATGGAGCCTAGGTAAACTTATTGATGGCCTTGTCCCAGTTACTTACCTCCTTTTAGCTAAAAATAGAATGATCTTATGCTAGCTAATGAGATCATAGTGGCTGGCTGATT